TTCAAAAACCTGATTCTCAGCGGGGCGCCTTGGCACATGCCTATAATCCCAGCAGCTGAGGCAGGAGGATCGTGAGTCCAAAGCCAGCCCCAGCAAAAACAAGCCACTAAGCAACTCAGGGAGACCCTGTCTCTAAATAAAATACAAAATAGGGTTGGGGCTGTGGGTCAGTGGTCGAGTGCCCCTGATTTCAATCTCCGGTACCCCCCTCCAGAAAAGAAAATCTAGATTCTCCTAATCTTATGACAATATTCCTGATTCACTTGTTATCAACCCTAGGAATCCGGAAATTGAAAGTACTGATGCCTAGCCTGCAGCATTTGACCTTCTAATGGAATTGGTCAGGAGTGAAGCAAAGTATTAGTACATTTTAACACTATTTGCCCATCATTACTAACAAAAATTTGATATTTTTGTCTGAGAATTTGCATTTCATAGGCTTCTCAAGAGCTAAGACTTGGGTGATAGTATCCCTGTATCTCCCGAGTTGCAGGCCCTGGAGCTGGAGCTCGGTGGCTGTTGATCCACACAACTCGGTTTGCTCAGGACAAACCAATTTTTATACCCATTGTTCTTGTGTTCCATTCAATTAGCTACGCTGTATCTCTCATTCTCAGAGTTATCTCATTTTATATAATAAATTACAGAATCCTCCCAATCATAAGAGTACCACTTGAATGTAAATACTTACTGTTGTGGATTGAACTGTGTCCTTACAAAATTCATGTTAAAGTCTAATACCTGTACCTCAGAATGCGACTTTATCTGGGAATAGACCCTCTAAAGAAGTGATTAATTTAAAATGAGATGATTGAATTAGCAGTGAAGGCTTAATCCAATCTGACTAGTGTCCTCATAAAAAATGGAAATTTGGATACACAGGTGCTATTAGGGATGCACATTCACAAAGGAAAGACCATGCAAGAAGGCAGACAAAGGCAAGCCAACGAGAGGTCTCAAAATGAACCAAGCCAGGTGGCACCTTCACTTGGACTTCCAGCCTCTGGAACCATGAGATAATATATTTCTGTTGTTTAAAACACTCTTTCTGTGGCAGTCTGTTATAGCAGCCCTAGTAAATTAATATATTTAATAAAGTGATGTTCCCAAAGTATTCCAATCTCCAAAATGAATATTTATACCATTTTCCAAGAAATGGTCTTTTGGTTTCCCCAACTGTACAATAAAAGGCTTGCTTTAATGTCTTCACAGGATGTGTTTAGCTTTCATATTTTGAGTCTGGAAGATCATTCCCAGCCTGGCATAGTGGCACATGCCTGTAATTCCAGCGGCGCTGGAGGCTAAGGCAGGAGGATCACTAGTTCAAAGTCAGCCTCAGCAACTTAGCAGGACCTAAGCAACTCAGCGAGACCCTGTCTCTAAATAGAACACAAAAAAGAGCTGGGGATGTGGTTTAGTGGTGAAGTGACCCTGAATTCAATCTCCAGTACCAAATAAATAAATAAATAAAACAATTCCTATATGGAAGACTGAGGCCACCATCTCTCTGGTTGCAAATGTCCTATGTGGTTACAAGAGGTTAGGCACAGTTTCTGCTCCTAAGGAACCACAACCTAATCCAGAAACATCTCATCCCCAAAGTGACAAAGTAACTTTATGAAGGATCAGGGCAGGGGCACTAAGCCAGTCCACCAAGTTTAGAATAGGCTCCTGTGTGAATGGCATTCAAATTGATTTTCCATGGGTAAAGAGGAACATTCCCAGTGAAATGAGATGGTGAGGCAGGTATTCCCCACAGAAAACACCCCAGACAACCCCAAAGATACCAAAAACTGAGGAAAAAAAGAAACCAAACTCTCTTTGGTGCTTTTCTAACCACCTCTCGATTTTAAGTCTAGTCATTGCCCTGTGTCCACAGAAGTCATAGAGGGTGCAGCTGTTATCCCATATACTTTTAACCCTTAAAATATTTGAGAACTTACAAATTACAAATTCTGCACTTTCAACTCCCCCCACCACCTCAAGATGAATAATTTCAATCCCTTCAGGCTATTTTCCAAATTTTAAACAAATTCATATACTGACACCCACTACTTTACCAATATACACCCACCACACACACACACACACACACACACACGGTGGGCCAAGAAGTCCTGCAGTTTACCAAAAGGCCCTTAAATTTAAAATAATATATCCGTGCTAGGCTGTCACAAAATATAGATTAAGGCCACATCCATCACATAGCTATGTGAACCAGCAAATCACTAGGATGTTTTCTTTATTAGATAGAAAGCAAAAGACTCTCTGAAGGATGATGCTAGGCACTGAGAGCTATGTTCCCTTCTTTGTGTCTGACACAAGATTCATAATCTTGCTGTTCATGGATGTTCAAAAACATCAACAACTGAAATAGATCAGCCCCAGTGATATGGGTTGCATTTCCACCAGGAAGCACTACTGTTCATTTAATCCTATATCAAGGCATAAATACAACAGACCTTGTTTTCCACACAGATTCCTGTTTCTTTCACACCCAAGCATATGCTAAGAGCTCTCAGGCGACACTCTTCCTCCATTTCTGGGAGGTGTCTTGAAACATTTTTAGCTTACCAAACACAAGACAGAGAAGGATCTCTTTCTTTGTGCAGAGAGGATCTTCTTCAACTGCTTATTTATATTGCAGATGGAAACCTATAGATTGCAATAAACAAATTTTCCTTCTAAAACTGGCATCTGTGTTGCCGTAGTTAAAAGGTGCAACAATTGTGTTTGAAAAACAATCATCTAGGAAATTCTGTTTTGCTTTGTAATGTTCAAATAAAGTGTTCATTGAATCAGATGGTGAGTAACACGAACAGAAAAATAACATCAGCCTACTAAACTAATGGGACCACATGTAGAGAAAATACCAAAAAAATGGAGTAGCTAGTGAGATCTTATGACATATAAGCAAAAGACCAATCCCTTTTGTTAAACCCAAAATGATATGATTCATTAAAAATCTAGTACTGTATTGTGTAAGACAGCAGCAACTAATTATGCCTGGCTATATAAATTAATTAAAATTAAATAGAAATTGACTACTTCAGTTGCACTAGCCACATTTTAGAAGCTCAATAGTCTCATGTGGCTAGTTGTTGCCATATTAGACAGCACAGATGGAAGAAATTTCCATCTCTGCAGAAAATTGTACTGGACACTGCTGGCCTAAGATGGTTCTGTTTGACTCCTGGGTTAGCATCATGTTAAAACATCAGGTCCTGAGGAAATCATCAGAAGCACAGTATGCCTGTCAAATGTAACCATCCATGGCAGGAAAAACAAGGTTGAAAAAAGAAAAAAAAATCCGCTCCTAGAATGAGCTGCTATGGTTCAGTATTGGTATTTGTATTACAAGAAAAAGATAAGCAGAAAAATTTTGAGCTTAAAGAATAAAGGAGTTTATAAACATTGCTACTTGAATACCACACTCCTCCTTCCTAAACATTCATAAAACATACCAGCTTCTCTTCATCTGCTAGAGGCTGATTGGATTTTATTGTTCATCTCTCAGGGATTCTTCATCCTTTGCTCACTTCCTGCCTCCAATGTTCTGTTGAAACATCTTTGAACTTCTGAATTAATAGAACCCCAATTAAAAATAGGAAAGTGTAGACTCTTCCCATTTTACAAAAAAAAGGCAAGAACTTTATTTTAAACAAATCCTCAGTTGTATATTACACCATGTCCATATCTAAATCAAAAATGATAATGATAATTCAAAGGAAACAGTGGGCTTCTTCAAAGCACGTTATCCAAATATTACTCTTGGCCAATGCTTTAACCAAATACACAGTGGATATGAAAGGTACAGTATGGCACTTAAATAAATAAGAGCAAAGAGAAAGAAACATATTCACAGTCCAAAGCAATAGGTTTCAGAACCTTTGGTATATGTCTCAAATAAGCATCCGTAAACACGTGTTAGCCAATAGTGTTTAGTTTCAGGTATTTTAGGCCGAGGGATTGTGTAGGTGTGTGTGTTTCAAAAATAAGTGATAAAATAATAAGTTGGGATTGACACGGGTTGATTAAGGTCTCTGGTGTGAGCACACAGGTAAATTCAAACCATGGCAAAATGATGTGCATCTGCATTGCACAACAAAACTATGTAAGAAAATGAGTAAGATACACTAGTTAGAAATTATGTGGCTTGGGTAGACACCCTCAATATTAACAACAACAAATACTTTTACTGCTACCTAAAGTCCACAAGCTGGAAGGCAGAAGTATCCCAAAGCTCATAAACACATGCCTTACCGTGCAACAACCATCTCACAAAAGTGTAGTAGTTGCATATTGCAATTCCCACCCGCCCTCCCATCCCCCRCCCCTAATAAACAGCACCAGTGCAATTTGAGTTAGAAAATTGGAAATATTGAGACATTCCTAAGGTTTTCATAATGACTAAGAGCCAATCAGTTGGGCTCTAGTGCAAACCTCTGCCATGGCCAATTTCCAAAAAAAGCACCCCATGTAATTCCCTCTAGCTTGCAGATAAACCATATTAGGTCTAATGTAAGGCCAGGTTCAGAAAAAAAGCTGGCATGCTATCCTGGGTTGAGGAAAAGGGGCATGCTGATGGAYAGGGGAGATACATGAAGGATCTTCCAGGATATTTGTCCTGCAGCCCAGGATAAAGGGGTATGTTGAGATAGGTCACAAAGTTTAACTCATGCCATTCACCAGAATGGAGCTCAGCAGAGCTAAGTCCTATTCAGAAGCTGTGCAAGTCCACTGTTATCAGGATCAAGAAGGGCCATAGAAGAAAAGGTCCCAAAGAAATCCAACTCATCCATTCATCACCCTACCCAAGTGCCTATGTGGAACCAGTGCCAATGATGATGTGATAACGCTTCTGTTTTTTCTCCTCTCTTTTTGATGCAAGATCTTCTGTTAACCAGCCTTATCCTACATCTTAGTGGTGAGTCACATATGAGGGCAGATATATCCAACCTTGAGCAGTTWTCTGTCTTGTGGCAACTTGTAACCCTTTAACCTTCCTAATACCTGCCCTTTCACACATAGGCAGAGTCACTGGACTGAGTCCTGCCAAAATTGGGAACACTGACCCTGGGCAGGTCCTTGTTACGGATCTCATAGACTGACTTCCTCTTGGCCTGAGCCCCTCGAACAGCCAGCTTGATCTTGCGCCATCCCAGGTGGTTGAGTTCAGCCAGGTTGAGCACAACACAGATGCCACTCACAGCAAACATGAAGACTAGAAAGACTGTCTTCTCAGTGGGCCGAGACACATAGCATTCCACTTCCTTGATGCAGGGATAGCGGTTACACTCATACAACCCTGGGACACTAAAGCCATAGAGAAAGTATTGGCCCACSAGGAACCCAATCTCCAGGGCATTTCGGAACACCACTTGGATAATGTAGAAGCGGGAGATGCCTTCCTGTCTTCGAAGCTTGGATCTTGCTGCAGTGCGCAGACCTGATGGATGTGGAGTCAACTCCTTAACCTCTAAACAATCTGGCTCCGTCTCCTTGCTGGTGTTCTCTGTGTTCTGAAGCACCCCGTTGACAATGGCATTTTGCAACTTCTTATCTTCTCGCTTTCCCCCACCACTGACCCCACCCCCAGTTCCTCCAGGACCCCCTATGGACTCAGGAGGATCTCTGTCCAGGGCTAGGAAGACAGTAGAGTACCGGCGTTCTCGCTGCTTGGCAGACTGGTGCACAGAATATGTGATGAAGCAGAGACTGGGGGTGCACACCATTATGATCTGGAAGACCCAGTAACGTATGTGGGAGATGGGGAAGGCGCGGTCATAGCAGGCCTGGTTACAGCCGGGCTGCAGGGTGTTGCACACAAACATGGTCTGCTCATCATCGTACACCGTCTCCCCCACAATGGCCACAATGAGGATCCGGAAGATCACCACCACAGTCAACAGGATCCTGAGCAGGGGAAGAGGGAGGGAGAGAGGTTCTCATGGGCTGCATCACTGACGGGAAACCCCATTCTTCCCTTCCCTGTTCTCATGTTTATCAGTTCTTTCACAGGGGAGCTGTCCATTCCTGCGTGGTACTGAACTAGGAATCTGGGAAACCTTTTTGTCTTCCTTTTCTGCTGGGTGCTAGCAAGTCTGGGGACACTTATTACAATGATCTCAGGCATGCACACCTCTATATACTGGTYATGGTTTATTTGCAAACTTATAGATTTCATTTTTGTATATGGAATGTACAGAGACACAATACACACCTTTAGTCTGCATATGGCAAGTGCACCCAGAATACCTGTACAGATAGTGCAGCTTTCAAAGTCTACACACAGGATGATAGAACTACTCTGTGTGTAAATTTAATCTATTCTTAATATAAATATTGAATTTAATGCTTACAGAAACAAGCAGCTAGGAACACATATTCATATATGCACAGACAGAAACATACATAGATATAGATTCACAAAAATGCCAATTGGGTGTGTGGATTCCTGACACTATAAGTTTTCAAAGACAAATAAGTTTAGCTTAATAAATATTTGCTGAGAAAAGATTCATCTGCTCTGAAAATCAATCTCTCCATTTGCCCTTCTCTGGCCAAATGCAATCCTGCCTTCTTTGTACATTCTATTTAGGGAACTGGATAGAGATTGGCTCTGACTCTGAAAAGTGGGGGGCAAAGATTGAGCCAAAAACTCCTTTTCTGATGTGGGAACAGTGAACTCCCCCTCCCCCAGTCGTGCTTCACAGGGAAGGGATGGGGAAGCTGCTCAGGAGTAGCTGGAGAAGGGGGGCGTCACTGGGCGTCGGGTAATCCCTCAACTCGGGAGGAATAGAAGCATTGACCCAACGGTGGGGAGGAGGCAGAGGGCGGGCTGGGGACTCGGGAAGGGGGTCGGCCCGGAAGTGAGAAGGTATTCCCGAGGGCCACCGACGGGCTGGCTGAAGGGCCCACTGACRGCTGGCTTGGCGCCCTTACCTCCCGATCATAGTGGAGTGCTGCTGCACCGCGGCTTCCAGCAGCCTCTCCAAGATGGTCCATTCCCCCATCGCTGTGCATCCGGGGGCAGCAGACAAAGACTGGGCAGCACCGGGCACGTTCCCGCTCCTGGCCCCTCCCCGGGCCGCACCTCCCAACTGGGAGCGAATTGCCCCCCGATTAAAGAAGCAAACAAAATTTTTTAAAATCCACGAATTTCCCCTCCCTTTTATTATACTTAAAAGAGGGAAACCGGGAAAGAAATCCACGCGCGTCCCGACCGGTGGGGCTGCTAGCGCGGTSCAGAGAGCTGGCACGAACCGGCGCCGTCCGGGGATCGCGTTCGGATTCCGCAGTTGCCGGGGAGAGGGGCGGGGCGGTGTTGATAGCGTGAAGGTCCCAGAGCTCCCGCCAGCCAGGCTGGGGTCTCCCGGCGCCGCTCTCCGCCGGAGGGTGGGGGTTGGGGAGGGTCCCGGCACTAGCCCCAGCGCCTGCCACTTCAGCGGGCACCTGACGCTCCCGCGCTGCTGCCTGCTATGCCCGGGCGGTGCACGCCGAGCTAGCTGCTGAGCTGGGGAATCCGCGGCCGCCGCCTCTAATCCGCCCTTAAGTAGTCTCTGCCTGCGTCACGCCAGGTCGGCGGAGGGGAGCCGAGCGCTGCGTGCTGCTGTCGCTGCGCGCCGGAGCCCGAGGGGTCGGGGACGCGCGCGGGGGGAGAGGGGCGAGAGTCCTGGGGCCTGGCAGGGAGTAGGGGGACTCCGAAAGGAAGAACTGCAGCGCCCCTTGGGGCTTCTTGGGGCGCCCAGGTAACCTCACCTGACCGCCAGCCCCCAGCAGAAGGAGGGGAAGCCCGGAGCAGACGCGTGGGTGAGTGGGGAGGGGCGTGAGTAGGTAGTTTATCTTCTCGGTGCATCCGTCGCCTTTCGCTTTTGCCTTCGGGGAGACAACTGAAATTCCTTTTCTAGATGGAGACACTGGTTGGGCGGTGGGGGGGTGGCGTTTTAAAATCTCTTGGAGAGGACAGCTTTGCTGAAAGTGAGTCTGTGGTTTTGAGACACCGTGGATCTGATGCTGGGGTGAGGAAAACAGGATGAGAGTCCATTTAGGCTGAAAAGCAGGTGTGAAGCTGACTGTGAGAATGAGGGTCTGGGTCAAAGCCCGCGCCCAGCCTACTCGTGGGGTGGCCATGGTTAAAAGTCTCACTTCTCCCAGCATAAACCCAGATACTCTGCTGTTTTTATTTTACTAATGGGAGGAGGGGTACTCTTCTGGACAATGTGGTCTATTCTCAATTTAAGGAGACCCAGTATTCCGCTARCAAAAATATGGCTCACAACCTCACCCACCCCCCACTTTTCTCACCCAKCCTTGGCTTTCTTCCCTCACAAGCAATCCGGGTTTCTGCTTTTAAATTTACATTTTGTTGTCACTTCTGTCTAGAGCAACTACTTAATTGGTCACTGGAAAATTGAAACAATGACACCAGGCTSCTAATCAGCGCAGAGGTCAGTTTTAGAAGAGAGTGTTTCATCTAAATGCCCCATAGTTTAGAGTGTTTCATAGAAATGTACCAAAAGCACAATGGGTAAGTAGTTATCATCCTTTTAAAAATACAACTGTGAAAGGCTTGCTAACTCATCTTAGGCATAGAATGCAGCCTTAATTATCCACAGGGATCATAGCACATATGTGTGTTACATAAGCCACACCATGGTGAGCTTTCAATTCTAAAACAGCCAAGGTGGTTGGGTAGTTGGTGGCCCAGACACAAGGAGGATGCTGGAGGATAGGGGCTTGAGCCCACTCACAAGGCACTTCCACATAAATGATGTTTAGGGGCTTGAGCCCACTCACAGTGCACTTCACATGAGTGATGTTTAAAGATATAACCCAAGCTTCAGTGCCAGAGGGATCACTGAGGTCTTCTCCTAGGGCTGACATCTTTACCCCCAAGGAAGCAGCTTTTCACTGGAACAGTAAAAGAGTCTCCCCAAGATGGAGAAAGGTATAAGGTGTAAATGGAACATTAGGACAAAGGCAGATATTCCTGTTTCCTTCTGGGTAGGGAGGAGACTCAAGGATGGAGATAAATGGGTATCTTATTCACTTGGCTTATGGAGGGAATAGTGATCCTCCTACTMGCACCTGATATGTTTTCCTAAATTTCTTTTTTTTCCCCTTGCCTGGGTGTCTGTATTTGCTCCTTTTCTGGCGGACACTTTTGGAGTTAAGAATCTCAGACAAGAGAATGAGTAAGAAAGTCCCAAGGGAGGGCTGTTTAACATCTTTAAATGTACCATAATAAGCTGACAACTCAGTCATTGTATTTCCGCTTTCCCAAACCCTGAAAGATAGTAGTCCTGGGCTGGGGATGTGGCTTAAGCGGTAGTGCACTGGCCTGTAATGTGTTTGGCCCGGGTTCGATCCTCAGCACCACATACAAACAAAGATGTTGTGTCCGCCAAATACTAAAAAATAAATATTAAAATTCTCTCTCTCTCTCCCTCTGTCTCACTCTTTCTTAAAAAAAAAAAAAAAAAAAAAGATAGTAGTCCTAAAGACAGATTGGAGAAAATATACTTTAAATATTCTCACAGTGCAACTTTTAAGCACTGGCTATGACTGAATTGTCAGTATTGATTTAATATGTTGAACTATATTTTAATATGCCATGTATATTCAACATATGAACACACATATATACATCATAGGTGTATAAACACACGAAAACACCTGTACACAGAACCTGCAGTTTGACTTATCTATTTGACTAGGTAGCCAGTTTTTAAGGTAAAAACCTTTTTTCTAAACACCATACTTTCAAAACTGTTAACTACTTTCATTTTTTTWAAATTGTGCTTCCTTTTTTGAGCCCTGCCAATTCCATTTTCAACTAATAATTTGCCCTGATAGTGCCACATGAAATACAAAATTTTTGTGTAGAGCTCTGAGTTTCCTTAATACACTATTTCATTTCCCTGGATTCTGTTTCAAGTCTCCTCTGAGATTCCCATTTAAATCAGCAAGGAAGTTCTTTCCATAAGCTCTTATTTAGAACTCATTCTATGATATTAAAGTAATGGCTTTGGATGAAAAACAATAGACTCATAGAATAAACTTCAGTGTGCATTAGAATGTGCATTGGGATGGGTTCATTAAACATACAGAGGCTCCGTTCCCATCTCATGTGTACTAAATTAAACTCTAAGKGATGTTTAAGTAACTGCATTATTAATAAGTTCTCATCACTGGCTCTGATAACAATAAAATTTTSAGAACTTTTACTTCCGTGAATAAGTAAAAGTCACAGCAGGAATGAATCCTAGAAATCAGAAAATTCCATCCTGTTTTCATAGAYGTTAACACTCACCCAGAGTTTAGGTGACTTGCCAAAAGTATCTACAAGTGGCAAAGGAAAAAGCTATGAAGGAAGTGATACTAAGAAGCGATACTAAGAGAAGAAGATCAAAATAATTTAAATGGGTGAAGAATGTTAACTTTGAGGACAAAAAAAGGGGGGGGGAATTAAAGTGGTTTGGATCATGGGGATATAGCCACCTGCAAGCATTTAAAGGAGAATAATCCCTGGGTTGTTAGCCTTGCAAATCCATGTCTTACTGAACAGTAATTTYCATTAACAGAGCAGAAAAATATTCTCCACATCTAGGAGGAAAAACTGCAAAGTCATGTAGTGAAGGATGTGGTTGAAGATTCGAATTCAGGGATAGAATATAGTTACTGATGATGATMCCATAGGTGTGTATGTGTGTGTGTGTGGATTTGCTATATGCTTAAAACTTCATTCTCTTCTTAATCAGGTRAACCTTTGAGCTTTGCAACATCAAATATTTGTAAGTGCAACCTCATAGGAACTTTGTGTGAGTTGCAAGAATGAAGGTTAATCTATTGACCTCTTCTCTACTGGTCCATAAATTCTTGGGGAGCCGAGGACATGCCAGTGTTATAGTGTTTTCCTTTGTGTCTTTAGCATGGAGGAAACCACCATTTGTTGTAGGAGTAGGATAACAATAAAATTTTGGCTCTTCATTCCTYAACCTGGGAGAGCTACATGTTCCCTTTGTAGAAATGGGTCCTATTCAAACCAGAGGGGAGAAAGGAGCTCTTTTTGCCAAGTGAAAGTCCTTACACACTGCGGGACAGCCTGGACCCCTCAGTAGAAGGGTCTTGCTAACTACCAGCCTCTACTGTTCTCACTTCCATTCTTCTCTCCCCCCATTACGGTCCTGATACTGGCTAAACTAACCCAGGGAGTGGTGGTGAGCATGCAAAGCTTAGGCTGCAACATCAGAGCGGTGGCCTTGGAAARCTGATCACAGCCCTGGCTACCTCTCCCCTGGGAAGCACCAGCATCTGTAGTCTCCTGGGATTTGTGTGGCTGAGAGGGACCGCATTCGATTTGGGATTGGTCTCTGTGTTAAAGTCTCAACATTTCATTCACAAACAGCTAGGATTAACCAAGCTTTATCTCCCCCAGTGGCCTACATACATCTGTTTCCTAATGAAATCATCAAATTATATTCTGAAGGGGCAAACCCAACATGTCTTGTGAGACTTAAAAAAACATAAGTGACAATGAAACCTATTCCTCTTTGCTGCAAAGTGATATTTGTTTTTTCTTGTGTGTCTCCCTCTCTATGGTTTGCCCAAATGTTTAGGGTAATGCTTTTGGTTCTCGTAGTTAGACAGAATCTATAGAGAACTATCTCCAAAGGGAATAGCTATCCAGCCTCCCAGTCTGAAGTAGCCCTAAGTATGGTGGCTTGCTTTGTGGTCTAGGATTCTCCAATGCCTGTTTCTTTCAAACCTATTCTGCCTTCTCATGGACCCAAATACCAACCTATGTCTTAACCCCAAGAGATTGTGTACCCAAATAATAGAGAAATCTAAAGTATTCTGCCTTCTAGTCCTTTGAACAAAAGGGTATGTATCCCTTTAAAAAAATCACATGTACAAATTTCCCATTCCCCATCCACCTTGTATACAGAGAATATACCTTTGTGTAGTAATATCTCAGGGATTAACGTAATATGGCATTGTGGCCAAAGCAGATGTGTGAAATCACAGCAAATAAATTAACACTCCATTAAGAATCAAATCAGCCCCGCTGACACATAATCTTTCCCATTTATGTCAAGTC